GAATGAAGGATAGGGTAGGATAGGATGGATTGGAATGAATAGGATAGTATAGAAAATATGGAATGGAGTGAAGGATAGGATAGGATAGGATAGGATAGCATAGCATAGCATAGAATGGAATGGAATGGAATGAAGAATAGGATAGGATAGGATAGGATAGGATAGGATAGAATAGGATAGGATAGGATAGAAAATATGGAATGGAATAAAGACTAAGATAGGATAGGATGGGATGGAATGGAATGAAGAATAGAATAGCATAAAGAATAGAATAGAAATAAGAATTGGGAATAGAGAATAGAATAGAATAGAATAGAATAGAATAGAATAGAATAGAATAGAATAGAATGGAATTCTTTATTGGCCAAGTGTGATTGGACACACAAGGAATTTGTCTTTGGTGCAAATGCTCTCAGTGCACATAAAAGAAAAGATACATTTGTCAAGAGTCAAGAATCATCAGGTGCAACATTTAATGATAGTTGTAAGGTACAAATAAGCAATCAAATCATACTAGGAAAGAGTCAATAATAGTAATAGTAGAGATTGGGCAGCCATTTGTCTGAAATGGTAGAGCTGCCTTGAGCAGGGGGGTTGGACTAGAAGACCTCTGAGGTCCCTTCCAACTATTTCAGACAAATGGTTATCCAATCTCTTCTTTAAAAACTCCAGGCAAATATAAATGCACCTCTCAAAATAGCCTTTTCCAGGATGGAAGGCAAACACCCCCTTTCCTCCCCAAAAGCTGGCACCTTCCAGCTGTGTCAGCAGAAACAACAACAACCAAAAACGTCAAGAGCGGCGTAACCCGCACGCAAGGCCCAAAGTGCCAGACGTAAAACGGGCAGGAAATTGGCCCCAAAATTTGCAAAAACAGGAAACATCCGGAGGAAACCCAAAAGATGCACAAAGGGGCTGCAGAGAAGGAAGGGGAAAAGGGAGAAAAGGTTCAGATTTCCTAGATTTTTGCATTGGAGGGTGTCTTTGTGTGTGTGTTTGTTTGTGTGTTTGTGTGTGTGTAAAGCCATTTGGAATGCATGGAAATAAATAAGAAGTGGGGGATGGAGAATAATAGGCTGGAGATGGAAAGGAGAAGTCCATTTTTTTAAAAAAATAATCCCTCTATACCCGTGGAACACTAAACTACATAGACTATAAATACCCCGAATGTTTGTTTTAGAGATATATACATATATTAAGTGTCAATATATTCCTTTTTTCTTTTTACCTGAATTAGTGACCTATAAAGATGATAGTTTTGTTTATTAACATTAAGAATTGTGAATTAATATAGTTAATATGTTTAAAAACTGTCAAATTCTCTCTCTCTCTCTCTCTCTATATATATATATAATCTATATATATCTATATATATCTATATCTATATAATCTATCTATCTATCTATATCTATATCTATATCTATATCTATATCTATATCTATATCTATATCTATATCTATATATGTTTTCTTACGTTTTCGTGGGTACTTACATGTATGGCATTCAGCTTTGTTCGGGTATTTTCCCACGTCATTGTAGTTGTGCTTTTAAAGTTGTAGCAACGTTTTGGCAGAATCTCATCTGCCATCATCAGGCTTCTGTATTGTGTCCGTCTGGAAGTACCCGTAAGTACATGTAAGTACCCGCGAAAACTTAAGAAAACACACATATATATATATGGTATTTAGTGTACTGCCAAGAAAATGATATTGAAAGATGTCGATATAATTTCTATTACGGAAACTCTATTATAGAAAATATTTGTAAATACTTTTAACATTCTGTTTTTGTAAACTTTTTAATATCTTGAACATTAATAAAGTATTTTTTAAATTGAAAAAAAGGAAAGGAGAAGTCAATTTTTTAAAAAAATAATGCAATTTTGCAAAAAAAAAAAAAAAAAAAAGGAGGAAAAAAAACCCCCATCTAAGCCAGCTTTCTCTGATCAGCAAAAGCCTAGATCTGGGGCCTGCAGGCGATCCTCGACTTATGAACCCAACGGAGCTCGAAACAAAGATCTCGCTCATCAACGGACAGTTTGGGCTCCATCGGGGTCGTAAGACGAGGACGACTTCTAACCGCCTTTCCCAGCCGCCTGCAAATCCCATCATCCTCTGCGCCAGGTTGACGATACATAAACATAAAGAACTCAAGCACCTTTTCCCCGCCCACCGGCCCCGAGATGGAGAGGCTCGAGGCCAGAGCGCACGCGCCTTTGGTGCGGCGGTTGTTGAGGGAAAATTGTCCCTGCGCGGCCGCCGTGAGCTTCGCCGGAACTGTCTCCGCTCGGCCGCCGTAGCGAGCGCGCGCGAAAGCAGGGAATCGCGGCCTAGCGTTGCCATGGCGGCGGCGGTGGAGGGTCGCGGAGGGGAAGGGTCGCTGTGGGGCTCTCGGGGCCCGGGTCGACCCGTCATGGAGGACGAGCTTTACCTGGAGAACATCGACGAGTTCGTCACGGACCAGAACCGAGTCGTAAGTGCGAAATCTGTGGGGAGCGGGGGGTTGGAGGTGTCAGTAAAAAAGCTTTATTGTTATAAATAAAATAAAATAAATAAAAAGCTTCATTATTGAAACGCAATTAGTTGCTTTTCTCAGGCGCTGCGGCCCCTTTTAGGCCCCAGACTCCAATTCAGCGTCGTTCTCCCAACGTGCTCTACTCCAACTCCCATCATCCGCAGCGGGTGATAGGGGTTGTAGTAGTAGGCCGAGGGTCTCTTGACCAAGAAAGAGGGATTCGAAGGGGCGACCCCTGAAACTCCGGGGGAGCCTTATTGCTGCTGCTCTACCAGAGGCTTACAAGCATCCCATAATATTCTTGGCCTTTTTAGCCTCCGTGCCCCCCCCCAAGACTCAAGAGGGGGGGTTTCCCTCCCTCCCCATACACACACATTTTGGAGGGGGGGGCTGAGTTTTCCAATGGCAGGTCTGGTTACGGATCTCTCCTCATTTGGAGAGGGGGCTATTGTGCCTCCCCCCTCCTCCATCCAGAGAAGCCCTGAACTCTGGACTCCCCTCTTGCATTAAGGAAAATAATGATAAGTGGTGATAAATGCATTTGTGTGTGTGTGTGTAGTAAATGAAAAAAAAAAAAGAATGTGATGACCTCTAGAAAATAAGCGCATAAACTATATATGTCTACATACACAGACTAATATGTATATATATGTATGTACGTATGTTTTCTTAAGTTTTCGCGGGTACTTACATGTATTCAGCTTTTACTGTAAAAGTCTGACTCACAGACAAACACAATACAGAAGCCTGATGATGGCAGATGAGATAAAGTTGCTACAACTTTAAAAGCACATCTATAATGACGTGGGAAAATACCCGAACAAAGCTGAATAACATACATGTAAGTACCTGTGAAAACTTAAGAAAACATATATATATGTATGTATGTATATATATGTATGTATATATATGTATGTATGTATGTATGTGTATATGTATATATATATGTATATGTATATGTATATGTACATATATGTGAATTTCGTTGTATGTATACTGTGTATATACGTACAATGACAAAGAATTCAATTCAATGTGTGTGTGTATATATATGTGTATGTATGTATTTACACTATGTGTATACGTGTGTAAATACATAGTATGTGTACTTCTCTATGTATATGTAGTGTGTGTGGATATCAATTATCTATCTATCTAATCTAATCTAATCTAATCTATATGGTATTCAGCTTTGTTCAGGTATCTTCCCACGTCATTATAGTTGTGCTTTTAAAGTTGTAACAACGTTTCAGCAGAATCTCATCTGCCATCATCAGGCTTCTGTATAGTGTTCGTCGAACACTATACTATACTATACAGAAGCCTGATGATGGCAGATGAGATTCTGCCGAAATGTTGCAGCAACTTTAAAAGCACAACTATAATGATGTGAGAAAATACCCGAACAAAGCTGAATGCCATACATGTAAGTACCCGCGAAAACTTAAGAAAACAAATATCTATATCCATCCATCCATCCATCCATCATCTATCTATCTATCTATCTATCTATCTATCTATCTATCTAATCTCTATAGTTCTGGAGAGATCATCACATTCTTGATTTACAGTCTCTTTCTCTCTCTGTAAATAAAAAATGTTATCTCTCCAGAATAAATATATAAACTGTACACACACACACACACACACACACACACACAGAGAGAGAGAGAGAGAGAAACACATACTATATACTTACACAGGCACACACAGGCACACCTATAGACATAGAGCGAGAGACTGTCTAAATGAGAAAAGAATGGGATGACCTATCCAGAACAATAAATCATCCAAACAACAATTGGGGCTGCCTCCTATTGTATAATAATTTTATTAATGCCTGCATAATTGCATGCCAAGCCCCACTCAAACGATTTTCTCAAGCTCCCAAAAGTCAGCTGTGAGGTAGCTTTTTTGAAGAATTGCATTGTGAAGAACAATACATGCAGCCACAATTAACCCTGTAGAGGTGTCGGTTCTGTCTTCAAGCAGAGGCTGGAGAGGTCAGCCTCAGTGGACTCCAGGACACTTCCCAACTCCAGGATGATTGTAGTAGTGGAGGTTCAGTTTGTGGTGGTATTTTTGTTATAATAATGACATGCGTTCCTTTGCAGGTGACATATAAATGGCTGAGCTTCACCTTGGGAGTTCATGTGAATCAAGCAAAACAGTAAGTATTGATCTCTCTTGTCTGTACTTAGTCCAGATTCAAAAGGGAGCACATCTCTAATCCTCAGGTAGTCCTCATGACCACAGTTGAGCCCAAAATTTCTGTTGCTAAGTGACACTATTGTGAAGTGAATTTTGCCCAGTTTACAATCTCTTGCTATAGCTGTTAAGTTAGTCATACAGTTGTTGTGAACCTGGCTTCCCCACTGACTTTGCTTGTAACAACCACAATCTAGACCAGTGGTTGCCAACCAGTGGGCCGGGGACCACTGGTGGTTCGTGAGAAAATTTTGGTGGTCCACAGAGAAATGTCACCCCCCCCCAAAGCAATTAATCCAGGCTGCGCGGGAACACAAGGCTGCGCCGACCACATGGCCCGCGGGAACACAAGGCTTGCATTGCTTGCTTTGCAAAGAACATGAGGTAGTGAGAGGAGGGGGGAAAGGGCGGAGGGGGGGAACATGCCTCACTCACCCCACGCGCCTGGCCTGGCCACCGGGCTGCTTTCCGCTTCTTTCTTCTGCCTTTGGCTGCACGCAAGGAAAGCAGCAAAAGCTTTTCTTTCGCTCCCCCAAACTCCACCAGAACTGAGTCTTTGGGACCCTGCAAGGCCTCATGCTCCAAGAGGCTGTGCCAGCAAAGACTCATTTCTGGCAGAGTTTGGGGGAGAGAAAGAAAGACTTCTGCGGCTTCTGCTGCTTTCCTTGCATGAAGCCAAAAGTCTCTCTCTGTCTCCCTAAGAACGGAGCTGGAGACACTATCCTGCGATCCCAAATAAAGAATGATCTATCGGTAAGAAAACAGGATGGGGAATTTTCCTGCAGACTTTTTTGGGATTTTCCCAAGGCCTCTGATCCGTGGGATTTAAAATTATGAGTTTGGTGGTCCCTGAGGTCCAAAATATTGGCGATCTCTGATGTAGACTACCATCACTGAACAGCAAAGCGATGTTTGGCTTAAAGATCGCTTCATTTAGTGATGGAAATTCCAGGACTACATGTAAACAAACTTTATTACATGTCCATCTTAATTTGGGACCATCTTTGGAACATGCCTTTGGGGCAGGGATCTTACCCTCAAAGAGAGGGACCGGCCCAAAGTCACCTAGCTGGCTTTCATGGCTTAGAGCAGGACTTGAACTCACCGTCTGCTGCTTTCTAGCTTGGTGCTTTAACCCCTAGACCAACCCACTTTTAATTTTAGCTGTTTAATCTTGAGCTGCACAGCGTACTTTGGATGACATATGCTCTTGTTTAATTTCTCGGGACAGTTATTGAAAATTTCAAAACATTAATTGTCTGTCTTAATCTCGGCCTTTGCCCTCTTTTTTTACAGAATGTTATATGACTACATAGAAAGGAAACGAAAGGAGAACGCGGGAGCCCAGTTGCATGTCACCTATTTACTGGCAGGGAACCTTGTTCAGAATGGGCACACCGTAAGTCAGAAAGGGGCTTTCTCTTGCATTGGACATTTTGAATTTAAATTTAGTAGCCGGAGTGAAACCTGGTCATTATATCAGGCTTCCAGCAAACCTCCATTCCAATCAATAACTCTGAGACAAACACATCTCAAAAGTACCTTTATTAGGATAGTAAAACTGGCACATCTCTGGAATCCTGAATGAAAGTTTTCGAACTTCCTACAATATCTCAAAACTACATCCCCCCCTTGGCCATCATCACATCACGTGGTCTAATCACGATCTGTCCAAAAGTAAGATCCTTATTTCATCCTGTACTTAATGACCTTGAACTAACAAAATAATTTGTCTACTTAGAGCTGCTCAATTGAATCCACCGCCACCCTCCCACTCACTCAGGCTTGTGGCAGGGTGGAAGCATCGAATCTCAGTACGGCTTCCCAAGCGGACACATTGCAGGCTTAAATCGCTCCCCTCAAGATGAGTTCTACCGCTGTCCAGAAAACATGGACAATGCAGATTGTATATGTTAATAATCAGTCTTGATCTATTGGGCGATAACAAATATTTGCTGAAGTAATAAGCTTCCTTTTCTTTCTAGTACCATAAGGTTGCAGTGGTGAGAGAAGACAAATTAGAAGGTAAGTTTGTACACAACTTCAAAATCATTTCTGAAAAATATGACATTTGTGTCTGTGCGCGTGCATACACACACACACACACTAAGGGGGCGCGGTGGCTCAGTGGCTAAGACGCAGAGCTTGTCGATCAGAAAGTTTGTTGGTTTGAATCCCCAGTGCCACATAACAGAGTGAGCTCCCATTCCTTTCCCCAGCTTCTGCCAACCTAGCAGTTCGAAAGCACGTAAAAAATGCAAGTAGAAAAATAGGGACCACCTTTGGTGGGAAGGGAACAGCGTTCCGTGCGCCTTTGAAGGCGTTTAATCATGCTGGCCACATGACCACGGAGACGTCTTCGGACGGCGCTGGCTCTTCTTTGGCTTTGTAATGGGGATGAGCAGCGCCCCTTAAAGCTGGAAACAACTAGCACATATGTGCAAGGGAAACCTTTACACATACATACATACATACATACATACATACATACATACATACTATTCTAAAAATACGAGTTCCAGGTTTACTTGTAAGAGAAGAAACAGACACCTTGTGATCTCCGGAACTAAAATTATATTTATTATACTTATTAAGCTTTCGTCAGCCTCTGCTGACATCATCAGAGTGTTAAACTACCATTACAGAGATCCATCCAGGTAACGGTAGTTTAATACTCTGATGATGTCAGCAGAGGCTGATGAAAGCTTAGTAAGTATAATAAATATAATTTTAGTTCCGGAGATCGCAGGATGTCCGTTTCTTTAGATACATGCATGCGTGCGTGCGTACATACATACATACATACATACATATCCCACCACAGCAAGAATGTGAGGTGGGCTGGGCTGAGAGAGAGAGACCGGCCCAGTTTACACCACTTGCTTTGAGAAAATCTTCCTCTTCTTTAAGCGGCTTCTGCCTCCTTTCCAGCCATGAAGTCCAAGTTCTCCACGTTGGCCAGCGTGCACGTCTACAGCATCCAGAAAGCCCAGCTCAGGGACAGCAGCCCCCTTTTCAACACCGACTACGACATCCTCAAGGCGAATCTCGAGAACTGCGGCAAGTGAGTGGGAATCGTGGCAAGGCGGCCATCGGTTTCATGGCGGACGCTCCTCTGAGCTACGCATCGCAAGCTGCCAGCCTGAAATCAGTAACATGGGGGGAGGGGGGGGAGGGAAGGAACTTACAGGAATCGAACCCAAGACGTACCGTCCCATGGGAAGCACTAGCCGCCAGCGAGCGCACGAAGAGAGGGCTTTTGAACCATTTGTTAACGCCTGATTGGACCTTGTCTGATAACCACGTGGGATTGTCCAGGACCAAAGGAAAGTTAATTTATCTTTTGCACTCAGAAATCTCTGAGACAGCTTTGCCTCTTCTGCAACCACTTTGGCTTTACTTAAAAGTACAGGTAGTCCTTGACTTACAACCACAATTTTCAGTTGCTAAGTGAAACTGCTGGTGACCTTCTACCGCTGCACCATAGAGAGCATTTTAACTTACTCCACACCTGTGTAGGGTTTGCCAATTGCACAGGGGCAGATAGGAAAGCACTCCAGAGGGTGAACGTCATTGCCCAGAGGAACATGGGTTACCCTCTCCCCTCTTTGGAAGAGCTTTGTAGCTCCCGCTGCCTTAAGAAAGTTCAAAATATTCTCAAAGATCCATCTCATCCTGGGAACCCCTTTTTGTTTGAACTATTACCATCTGGCAGACGGTACAGGATAATAATAAAAACAAGGGCAAACAGGCTGCAAAACAGCTTCTACCCCAGGGCAGCAGCTCTATTGCATTCTACTGTATAGTGCAGTGTTGGTGGTTTTCCATTCAATGTGTGGAGTGTGAAGGATGTGTGTTTGTGTTTATTTTCATGGTCATGATGTGCACTGAAGATGGTGTTTGATTTCATTGTACGAGGTGCAAGGGCAATAAAGGAAACTAAACGAAGCGAAACTAAATGTGTTTTTAAGTGGATTTTACCCATTTTACGAACTTTCTTGCCACCGTGGAGTGGATCACTGCCGTTGCTAAGTCGATCACATGGTTGTGAAGTGAATCTGGCTTCCCTCATTGACTTGGCTTGCCAGAAGGTCGCCAAAGGGGATCGTGTGAGCCCTGGGGGCCACTGCGTCCGTCGGAAATATGAGTCAGTTGCCAAAGTATCTGAATTTGGATCGTGGGGATGCTGCAACGGTTGTAAGTGTGACCAAACCGCCTTAAGTCACATTTTTCAGTATTGTTGTAACTTTGGTCACTAAATGAACTGTGGTAAGTTGAGGACCACCTTTTGGCTAATCATGGGCCAGGAGTCTCCCTTTAATAATTGACCCACGTTGGGACAATCGACAAACGGATCTGAGCGAGCCGGGCAGGGCTTTGCTGAACTGTAAAAGTGTTTCCAGATCTTTGACAATTTTACTTAACAATTTCCTCACTCAACAACATAACATTTTTGGGGCTCGACTGCGGTCGTAAGTTGAGGACTGCCTGCAATTTAGTTCCACTGCCAACTGAACGTGCTTGTTCTGTTCCTAGATTCAGCGCCATTTGCTGCCCTGCCGCCGTCACCAGGCCTGTTGCCGAAGGCTCCCCGGCTGAGACCCCCGCCCAGCCGCCCCCCTCCACAAGTGTGCCCCCCGCACTCAATGGCCATGCTCCAGGCATGCCTTCCAAGCAGCCCGCCCAGCCGATGAAAGGCATTATGGGAATGTTTGCGGCCAAAGCAACCTCCAAATCCAAGAACGCCCACAAGGAAGTGAAACCGGAGACCAAAGAGACGCCCCCCGGTGTAAGTGTTCATGCTTAAAAATACCTGGTCGGGGGGAAGAGCCAGGGAGGGCTGGGGAATTCTGGGAGTTGAAGTTCACACATGTTCAAGTCGCCCCGCCGTTGAAAAACCTTCACCTAGAGCAGGGATCGGCAACCTTAAACAGTCAAAGCCGCAAAGGTCCTAAATAGAAGCCACCCTGTTCAACTCTGGAGTCAGCCGGAAGTCCAGTTCCCCCCACCATAGAGTCTCCTCCTAGAATAGTGTCCTTTTTTCTCTAGTGACCGGAAGTCCAGTCTGCCCCCCTCCCCCCAAAAAACCACCATAGAGTCCCCTTCTAGCACGACATTCTTTTTCCTCTGCTGACCCCAAAAACAAAGTTGGGGTCCCACCACAGTTGTCCAAAAACAGATTAAATCCATAATGATCTTACACAAGAGTTTCTAAACCTGGCAACTTTTAAGTCTTGTGGACTTCAACTCCCAGAAGTCCTCATCTGGCCAAGGTGTCCATGTTAGCTGAGGAATTCTGGGAGTTGAAGTCCACAAGTCTTAAAAGATGCCAGGGTTGGAGAACCCTATTCCAAGCTGGAAGAAAGTTGTTGAACTAACCAGGATTGTGGTCCACTGTAACAAGGTTGGTATTTTCTTTCTGGCTTCCCAGCTAAGGAGATACACCATGGGCAGAAATTAAAATAGTTTGTTAAGTGCAACAAAGCTTAACAAAGATGTCGAACAGCGTCTTTTTAGCTGCTCCCATGCTCCTGTGATGACCTGGGGCGTGACACAAAAATAATATAGTCACAAAAGTAGAATAAATTTCCTTTAATGCCTCCAACTTGGCCCCCAATGTCCAATTATCCTCGGCTGGAGATCAAACTCTTCCAAAAAGAGTCTACAAAGGGAGTAAATGGAGTCCGAACCCAAAATAAAGATAATTAGAAATTTAAAAAAAACCAACACAAACCACACTGAAGTAATTAGTAGGCCAGGATGATAAATTGCAGACTTCCACAAGATAATGCAACACCCATAGTTGGGAGGATGCCAAAACCCAGATAAGCCTCAACCAAGATAGTGCACGCTTTGCTTCCAGCAAGGAGCCGTGTGCAAACGCCCCACTTATATCCTGTTCTCCCAGCTGCAACTAAAAGGGAATCAGGGCCTTTTCCTCTCCCGTAAGCCATGTTGCTCCCTTCTCCGTTCCTCCCTGCATGCCCTAGGATGCAGAGGGGGTGGCCCTGGGTCTTCCTCTGAAGGCCCAGCCGGCCTGTGCCCTCCCCCCGTTTCTTCCACAGCCACCGGAGCCCCACTCCCTGTCAGCTGCCCTCAGACTCCAACAAGGGCATGACAGCCCCTGTTGTTGCTTAGGGATTTCTTAATGATAACCAGAAGAACAAGCATATTTCAGCTGTCCTCATTCGAACTCATCACTTATGGGATCACTGCCAGAATCCTGACAGTGGCTTTATTGGATTTTTATTGTGTTTCCAGGATATCTTCTTTTCTAACTGTTTCTTTTAATCAATTCTAGGCTTCGGTGACCAACAGTAAAGGCCCAGCGAAAGGAAACATGCTGAACAATTTCTTTGGCAAGGCTGCTGTTAGCAAAGAAGGTAAGCTCCTCTCTGTGTTTTCTCCTCCGTTGTAAGTCCACGTCGTCTTTGACTTACGGCCAATGTTGAGCCGAAGTGTTCTGTCCCTAAGCAAGACGCTAGCTAAGTGAGTTTTGCTCCATTTTGCAACTTTTCTTGACGACAATTGCTAAGCGAATCACTGCAGTTGTTAAGCTAGCAAGACAGTTGTTAATGAATCTGGCTCCTCCCCCCTTGACTTGTCAGACGGTCGCCGAAGGGGATCACGTGACTCCCTAGACACTGCACCCGTCATAAATATGAGTCAGCTGTCAAGTATCCAAATGTAAATCACAAGACCATGGGAATACTGTAACGGTCATAAGTGTGAAAAACGGTCATAAGCCCCTTTGGAGTGATGTAATTTCAAACGGTCACTAAATGAACTGCCGTAAGCCGAACCAGGCATGAGCCAGTTGCAACGTGTCCAGATTTTGACCACGTAACCAGACAGGGATGCTGTCCTGTCCCCTGTCTGAATCTGAGGAGGAAGACGAACAGCTGACACAGGGAGTGGGAGTGTGGCTCTGTTGGCTGTGGAAGAAACTGGGGAAGGGCAGAGTCCGGCTGGGCAGAGCAGGGGAGAGGTAGAACAAGGAAGAGGGAGTTCAGAGGAAGAGCCAGGCCCAACCCCTCTTCATCCTAGGGCACGAAGGGAAGAACAGAGAAGGGAGAAACGTGGGTTGCATGGCTTACGGGGGAGGAAAGGGCCCTGATTCCCTTCATTAGCTGCAACTGGGAACACAGTGCTTAGAAAGGGGAGTTGTGCACAGCAAACTGTTGAGAGCAAATAATGAATTTATCTTGTATCGTTGAGACTAATCTGCGTTCCTGGCGTCTTCCCAACTGTGTGTGTTTTGTTGGCCTTTCAAGTCTGCAATTCCTTCTCCTGCCCTGTCCAGTTAATTGCTGCAGCGTGGTTTGTGTGGATTTTTATTTACAGTTTGTATGTACTTTGTTTTCGGACTGAATTTCCTCCACTTAAAGCCCGTTCCTGGGAGAGTTTTTTTTTCTCCAGCCGAAGGTAACTGGACATTGGGGGCAAAGTTGGAGATATTTAAAGAGACTCTTATTGCTTATTTGACTGTGTTGCCTTTGTGCCACGCCCCTTGGGGTCATCACAGATGCTGCCAAAGTTGTAGGAGTGGAAAACGGTCCTAAGTCACTTTTTTCCACGCCGGTATGACTTCGCACGTTCACTAAATGAACGATGGTAAGTCGAGGACTTCCTGTTTCAGGGACAAATTAAACCCTGGTTTTGATTGGGGTCAGCTTGCTGCCACCGGAGGAGGCCTTACAGCAAGGCTCTTCTTCAAACTTGGCAAGTTTAAAACTTGTGGACTTCAACTCCCAGAAGTCCTGAGCGAACATGACATGGAGGAGGAATTCTGGGAGTTGAAGTCCACAAGCATTAAAGCTGCCAAGTTTGAAGACCCCTGACATAGATGATAGAATAACACAGTGGGGAAGGACCTCGGAGATCTTCTAGTCCAGCCCCCTGCACAAGCAGGAGTCCCCAGACCAGGGGTCTCCAACCTTAGCAACTTTAAGACTTGTGGACTTCAACTCCCAGAATTCCTGAGCTAACATGACATGGAGGAGGAATTACAGGATGAACTATCTCTCTCTCTCTCTCTCTCTCTCTCTCTCTCTCACACACACACACACACACACACACACACACACGAAGGTGCTTGTTAACTTTCATCACGTTAACTTTCCTATTTTCCTCACTTCCGTGCAGGCAAAGCCAGTGCTGAGCCTGAGCCACAGAAGGAAGAGGGAACCGCGGCCAAGTCCCCCATTTCTCCCCTGGACCCCAAATCTCCTCTTAACCCTCCTGGCCATGAGAAGCCCAGCAAGGAGGCTGAGCCGGCCAGAGGGCGGCAGAGGGATAAGAAAAGGTAAGTGGGTTGGTGTTTTTCTCGGTGACCCAGGCTGTGCAAAGAGTTGGGCCTGTTTTCAGTCATTTGTGTGATTTATTGCAACGTGTATATCAATGTTGCCAACCTTGATAACTTTTAAGAGGTGTGGACTTCCCCACCCACCACGTATGGACTTCAAGTCCCAGGATCCCCCAGCCAGCATATGTCACCTTCAACTCCTAGAATCCCCCAACCATCATTTGTGAACCTCAGCTCCCAGTATCCCCCAACCAACACATGTGTGAAGTTCAATTCCCAGATTCCCCCAGCCAGCATGAGCGAACTTCAACTCCCAGTATCCCCCAACCATCATTTGTGAACCTCAACTCCTAGAATTTCCCAGCCAGCATGGGTGGACTTCAACTCCCAGAATGCCCCAGACACGATGTGTAGACTTTACCTCCCATAATTCCCCAGCCTCTGTGTGGACTTCAGCTCCTGAAATTTCTGTGGGCCTAAATCGAGGCTTTGGTTTTGTACTCCCAGAATCCCCCAAGCAGCATGTGAAAATATACTTGGGGGGGGGGGGGGGGGAGATACTTGGAAGAATAGCATACCTTAAAAAAAAAAGCAATTCAGCTTAAGACTTGCCTGGCTCCAATTTTTAATGTTTGGCAGAGTAGTTCCGGCTGAAAGTTGTCAAATTTATTTTTAAAGGCAAACCTAACTTTGGTGCCTACAAAGAGTGCTTAGTTTGGGAAGATTGTTTAGGGGAGCTGTTTATTTTATTTTAAAAAAGCTCAATAAGAGACTCTCCCTTAAGTCAGAGGGGGCTGTTAAGTGGGTTTTGTCCCATTTTACCACTTTTCTTGCCAGCGTTGTTAAGTGAATCACCGCAGCTGTTAAGCTACTAACAGCGTTGTTAAATGAATCCGGCTTCCCCGTTGGCTTTGCAAAAGGGGACCATCCTAAATATGGAAATTGCCCAAGTGCCTGAGTTTTGATCAGATCCTCGCCAGGATGCTACAGTGTGAAACACGGTCCTAAGTCCCTTTTTCCAGGGCTGTTGTAACTCTGGGTGGTCACTGAATGAATGGTCGTAAGTCAAGGACTCTCTGTGTTTGGCAAAGCTTTTGTTTT